GTGCAATTAACAAGTTTTGCTTGAAAAAGTTTGTGTTTGGTTTGGTTTTTGTTGCAAAACTAGGGCTAAGAAGATGGCGGATGAAGAGCATATTCGGCACTGCATGCTTTACGAGTTCCAATTAGGAAGAAAAGCAAGTGAGGCTGCAAAAAACATCTGTAGTGCTCTTGGTCAAGATGCAGTTAGCGCCAGAAAATGCCAGCGTTGGTTTGAGAAATTTCACGAGGGAAATTTTTCGTTAGATGACAAGAGTGGTCGAGGCCGTGTGTCCAATTTTGATCAAGAAGCTCTTCAAGCTCTTTTGGTGCAAAATCCTCAAATTACCCAACAAGAGCTTGCGACAACTTTAAATTGTTCACAAAGAACAATTTCCAATCAATTGCGTGCACTTGGCAAAGTCCAAAAGTTTGGAAAATGGGTTCCTCATGAGTTGACCGACAACAACCGTAATCAAAGAGTCACAATTTGCAGTCGCTCCTCTCTCATCAAAACCGTTTGCCGTTTTTAGAGCAAATTGTTACCAGAGATGAAAAATGGGTGCTGTATGTTAATTTGAAAAAGTGGCCTCAATGGTTGGACAAAAATGAGGCTCTGCAGCCCACGCCAAAACCTGACTTGCATGCGAAAAAAGTGATGTTGTGTGTTTGGTGGAATTTTAAAGGAATTCTTCATTATGAACTTTTACCATCTAACCAAACCATTACAAGTGCAGTGTATAGTGCCCAATTGGAAAGGTTAGCCCAAGCTTTAAGAGAAAAAGAACCCGCGCTGATTAATCGGAAGGGCGTAATTCTTCACCACGATAACGCATGACCGCATACTGCAAGAATCACTGCTGAAAAACTGCGCCAGTTGGAATGGGAAGTTCTCCCTCAACCTGCATATTCTCCTGATATTGCCCCTTCCGATTACCATTTGTTTCGTTCTTTGCAAAACTTTCTTCTTGGAAAAAAATTTAATAATGAAGAATGCCTCAAAAATGCATTGACCGAATTTTTTGCATCAAAATCACAAGAATTTTACAACAGAGGGATTAAAATGCTTCCTGAGCATTGGGCACAAGTAGTAGAAAACAACGGCAACTATATTGTTGATTAAATTTTATTGTATTGTTTAAATAAATTCAATTTAAAAAAGGTATTAGAAAACGACATTAATTATTACTAGACCTAATAATACTCAACACAAAGTGAAAAGCTTTGTGAGTGAGATGAAGAGGTATACTGTTTGGTTTCTTGAAGATGTGTATGCAGTTAGATGCCAACTTTACTAAGAGTCAACTATAAAGCCAGTATGAATGGTAATATGTTGTTTTGATTTGAGGGAGAGGAAAGAAGTTATCAGAAGCAAGCAGCAAGCATTTCTTAGGTAGAATCAGTGTAGACTTCACCCTTGCTGATTGAGTACCTGAATGAGCAACTTCTGAGCACCAAGCAGGTCCCAGCCCAGCTGCTGCTGCAGTGCCCCTGGATGTTTTCCCAGGGCTGGTCTTTAAATATTAATAGCCAGGATTTATTGAGCGCTTACTTTGTGCCAGGTGCTGTGCTATGCAAAGTGGGATCATTGATTACAAACAGGAAGAACCAGTGGAGCAGGAGCCTTGTCCCTTCTGGCCCTTTCCTTCCCTCATGAAAGGGAGTCTTCTTATTTTTACTTTTCCCTCCCCTGACTGAAAACCAGTCTTGCTACCTCCTAGGCCTAGGCTGTTCTCTCCTGGCTCATTTAAATATGAATTGAGTAGTAAAAATGGGAGCAAAATTATGTGAAAGATACTGGAAGGAAAAAGGAACCATGTTTTCTGTTTGCAAGGCACATTCTTATTTATCTATTTGATTAGCAACCACTACCCTGTCAAGGGAGGCAAAAGTGGTTATATACCCATTTTACACATAAAAAATGCAGTCAATGTTGAAACCGGTTTGGCTCAGTGGTAGAGCATCGGTCTGCGGACTGAAAGGTCCCAGGTTTGATTCGGGTTAGTACGTTGGTTGCGGGCATATCCCCGGTAGGGGGTGTGCAAGAGGCAGCTGGTCGATGTTTCTCTCTCATTGACGTTTCTGGCTCTCTATCTCTCTCCCTTACTCTCTGTAAAAAATCAATAAAATATATATTAAAAAAAAATGCAGTCAGTGCATGTTAAATGATTAGCCAGGGCAGTCAGCCTGTGGCCCTGGCTGGTGTGGCTCAGTTGGTTGAAGCATTGTTCTTGTGTACTAGAAGGTCTCGGGTTGGATTCCCACTCAGGGCACATACCCAGGTTGCAGATTAGATTCACGGTCGGAGTGCGTGTACGGGAGGCAAACAGTCCATGTGTCTTATGTTAATGTTTGTCCCTCCCTCAAATCAATTAATAGGAAAAAAACAAAAAAACAAAAAACAAAACCCAGCCTAGAGTTTTGAGCTTCTCCCAGAATTCTTTGTTCTAGACTCAGTTGTATATGCCCAACACATGAACAGATGTGTTTAATACAATACCAAGTGCCCAAACAATGTCCCAGATGCTTATAGGGAGTGTTTTATTTTTATCCCAAATGACTTTATATATGTTATGTACATCATTTAGTCAGCACTTAATCAATATGAGTAATGAGACATTTAATTCTATATCTGAAGGTTCCCATGTGTGTCTTTATAGGTACCTCCTCTTAACATATATGGGTAACAGTTGTGGGCTAACAGATCGATAACAGTAGATTTCTAGGGGAGAAAATCTTTAGCTGTACTCTTCAACCCTTATGGATACTGAGGACTGTTTGAGAAGGTGAATGGCTCTTGTGGTGGATCCTTGCTAGTAGATGTTTATGGAGCTTTTAAAAATATATATTATTTTGTTGATTTCAGAGAGCAAGGGAGAGAGAGAAACTAATGATGAGAGAGAATCATTGATCGGCTGCCTCCTGCACTTGCCCCACTGGGGATTGAGCTGAAACCCGCCCATATGCCCTGACCAGGGGTTGAACCATGACATTCTGGTTCATAGGTCAATGCTCAACCTCTGAGCCACACCAGCTGGGCTTTATGGAGCTTTCGTTTCTCCTGCTGGCCAACTTAGCAACTGGGAACCAGACTGGCGGAGTGACACCAGTCTAAAATGGGCTGTTCTGAGTGCAGAATCTCAGAGGGAAGGCGGGGGAAGGTGGGTGGGTAGGAGGTAATCAGCCGAAGACCATATATGAATATATGCATAACCCATGGACATGGACAATTAGGTGGTGAAAGCCTGGGGCTGGGAGTGGGGGTGGGCTGGAGGGAGTTACTGGGGGGCGGGAAGGGGATATATGTAATACTTTCAACAATAAAGATTTAAAATAAATAAATAGAATGAACTGTTCATGTAACTTCTTGTTCCTCTCAGTTGTCTGGTAAACCACGAGCCCATTACCAGGTTGACTGAATGAGGCTGTGTGGTAAGCTCTGAGGAAGAAAAAGGGTGGAGAAAAGTGATTAAAATGGCAAACAGGGTGTCTGGCCTTCATTTATTCAATAGCTGGACATTGAACTCCTCTGTGTCACGTGGTGTGCCAATTGCTAGAGACGTAAGGAGAAAATAGACAGGATCCTGCCCTAGAATATAGTGGGCATTTAGAAAATTATTAGTCTGATCACTAACATTAAGGCTCCTAACTATGTAACAATAGTGGTGTTATTAATAGAATGATGAGTGGTTTACCATCCTGAGGTTATGGGAAATGAGGGCTGATATGATCACATCCCGTGATCTATTTACATTTCTCTAGCTGCTCTTTTTCAAACCAGCATACTTGGATATCAGGAAGGTGTTTTTTTCTCTTATGGCTGGAGGATACTTGCTGTAAAGGTTCATCACTCTTTTAGCTGGAGTAAAACATTACTTTTTGGATTAGGAATTTTGTTCTTGGGAATCTGTGTTCTGAGAGTAGTGGCCCTGAGAATCTTTTTGGAGCTCCTGATATTTCATTGGCACCAGGTCTCTTCCTTCCTGGCCTTTTTAAAATAGGTGTGTGTGTGTGTGTGTGTGTGTGTGTGTGTGTGTGTGTACATATATATAATACATATAATTATATATGTATAAATATAATTATTATTATTTTAGAGAGAGGGAAAGGAGGAAAGAGAAAAAGAGAAACATTGAGGTATGAGAGAAATATTGATTGGTTGACTCCTGTACACGCCCCCACTGGGGTTGGAACCCTCAACCCAGGCATGTTTCCTGACTGGGAATATAGCTGGCAACCTTCTGGTTCACTAGACGATGGTCCAATTAAGTCACACTGGGTAGGGCCTGGCATTATTTTTTTTAAAAAGTTTTTATTGATTTCAGAGAGGAAGGGAGAGGGAGAGGGTGATAGAAACATTAATGATTAGAGAGAATCATTGATCTGCTATCTCCTACATGTCCCCCTTCCTCCCCCCCTTCCCACCCGCCCCCATAGGGGATTGAGCCTGCAACCCAGACATGTATCCTGATTGGAAATTGAACTGTGACCTCCTGATTCATAGGTCGATGCTCAACCACTGAGCCACACTGGTCAGGCTCATGTTGAATGCTTTACATACCTTATACACTAGACTCTCATTAAATATGATTTACAGATATTTTCTCCCATTCTTTGGGTGTCTTTTCACTGCCTTGCTAATAATATCCTTTGCAGAATGATAGCTTTCATTTGTGATAGTCCATTTTATCTGTTTTTTCTTTTGTTGTATAGCTTTTGCTGTATTAACTAAGAAACCATGGCTTAATCCAAGGTCATAAAAATTTGTTCCTATGTTCTCTTCTGAGAATCTCATACTTTTAGTTCTTTGTGACTACTAAGTTCTGATACTGACTGAGGCTTTAAAAGTTCCTGTTAGCTCTTTGCTAAGGGTAAGGGCTGGGTGGAGGCTGTTACACTGGGGCTTCTTTTCCTTGCCATTTTAACAAGTCAGTCAAGGACCTTGACTCTGGGAAGCATTTGTTCTTCTTGCACATGTTTCTATCTATTTTGCCATTTCTTGATTTCTTTGTATTTTTTTTTAAGGTGTCTAATGAAGAGGACTTTATTAGGAAATTGGACTGCAAACCTGATCAGCACCTGAAGGTTGTTTCCATTTTTGGAAATACTGGTGACGGGAAGTCTCATACCCTCAATCACACTTTCTTTTATGGCCGTGAAGTCTTCAAAACCTCCCCTGCCCAGGAGTCCTGCACCGTGGGAGTATGGGCAGCCTACGACCCAGTCCACAAAGTGGCAGTGATAGACACGGAAGGGCTCCTGGGGGCTACGGTGAATATCAGCCAGAGAACACGGCTGCTGCTTAAGGTCCTGGCCATCTCAGACCTCGTCATCTATCGAACTCACGCAGACCGACTGCACAATGACCTCTTCAAGTTCCTCGGGGACGCCTCAGAAGCTTATCTGAAGCACTTCACCAAGGAGCTCAAGGCTACTACTGCCCGCTGTGGCCTGGATGTGCCCTTGTCCACCCTGGGCCCTGCTGTTATCATTTTCCATGAGACTGTGCACACTCAGCTGCTGGGCTCTGGTGAGTAGATGGGGTACTGTGTCACAGACTGACCTTTCTTGGTACAAGGAGGCAGCCATTGGGCTGTAAAAGCAACTTGATGGTGGCCATTGCCTAGAAAAATTTCGGCCTGGGCAAGACATAAGGAAATGTTTCTAGGAGGACGGAATGAATCAACCATGTTGAAATCTGCTTATGGCTTTAGCCGGTTTGGCTCAGTGGATAGAGTGTAGGCCTGTGGACTGAAGGGTCCCGGGTTTGATTCTGGCCAAGGGCACATGCCTGGGTTGTGGGCTTGATCCCCAGTAGGGGGTTTATGGGAGGCAGCCGATCAATGATTCTCTCTCATCATTGATGTTTCTATCTCTCCCTTTCCCTTTCTCTCTGAAACCAATAAATACATACATATACATACATATATGTGCATACACACCCCCCCTACACTAATTAAAAAGAAATATGCAAATTGGCTGCCACTTTGTGCCCCTCACCAGCCAATCAGGAGTGAATATGCAAATCAACCCAACAAAGATGCCAGAGGCCCCGCCCCCCAGCCCCTCTGGGCCTCTGGGCAGCATGCATGCAGGTGTGTAGTGCTGGGTGGGGCAGGACGCCTGCTATGAGGGGGAGGGTGGGGGGCAGAGGGAGCTACAGGAGCTGCGCTCCCACTGGAGTGAAGGCTGAAGTCTCCGGCTGGAGTGAAGGCCTGTGTCCCAGGTGCCAGAGGAAAACCGATGCAGGCAGCCAGGGGAAGGAAGGCCTATTGCACGGATCTTCGTGCAACTGGCCTCTAGTATATATAATCTGCTTATGGTTAGGATGAGGATCAAGAATTGTTGAATGGCTTTGGCAAAATAGAGGTCCTTGGTGGTCTGTATTAAAACCTGTTTCCCAGGGATGGTGAGTAGGAAAGCCTAGTCAGAGTGGAATTGAGAGTGAATAGGAGGAGAAAAATGAAGGCAGTGAGTATATTCAACTCTTTCAAAGGGTTCTGTAAAGGCTAGAAAATAAATGATAGCTGCAGGCTAATATGGGAATTCAAGGAATTTTCCCTTTTTAAAATTTAAGATGAAAGGCATTGCAGATATTTGTGTACTGACGAGAGTAATTCACTGGAAAGTAGAGTATGAGACAGCAAGGACATTGGCCTTAGGAGCATGGACAGTTCATCTATAACAATGGGAGAGAAGATAGAATGTATGGACACAGTTACAAGTAAGAGTTGTGTGTGTATGTATATGTGTGTGTTGTCTTATTGTTTCTGTTTTCTTAGATCAGTGGTTGACAAACTCATTAGTCAACAGAGCCAAATATCAATAGTACAATGATTGAAATTTCTTTTTTTTTTTTTTTTAATATATTTTATTGATTTTGTACAGAGAGGAAGGGAGAGAGATAGAGAGTTAGAAACATCGATGAGAGAGAGTCATCGATCAGCTGCCTCTTGCACACCCCCTACTGGGGATATGCCCGCAACCAAGGTACATGCCCTTGACCGGAATCGAACCCGGGACCCCTGAGTCCCCAAGCCGACGCTCTATCCATTGAGCCAAACCAGTCTCGGCTGAAATTTCTTTTGAGAGTCAAATTTTTTATATATTTTAATATATTTTTATTGATTTTTTACAGAAAGGAAGAGCGAGGGATAGAGAGTTAGAAACATCGATGAGGGAGAGTCATCGATCAGCTGCACACCCCCTACTGGGGATATGTCCACAACCAAGGTACATGCCCTTGACCGGAATCGAACCCAGGACCTTTGAGTCCGAAGGCTAACGCTCTATCCACTGAGCCAAACCGGTTTCGGCGAGAGTCATATTTTTTAAACTTCTAACACCACTTCTTCAACATAGACTCCAATATACTCCAGGCCGTGGTATTTTATGGAAAAGCCACACTCAAGGGGCCAAAGAGCCGTAGTTTGCAGACCACGGTATTAGATAAATAGGAAGCAAGATCATGACCTGAGAAGGAGATTGAGGGAGCAGGTGGGAATATTAGTATTGTCCCTGATAGCAGTTACACCATTTGCTTGTTATTCAGTTGAACAAAGCTTACTAAATGCACAATGTGCTGAGCACTGGGGCACCAAGCTGAAAAGGAATACAATTCCCACCCTCAAGTAAATCACAGTGTAGTTGGAGGAACCACGGGTGTTCTGTTCTGTTCTGTAGTAGATGCAGGTATTGGAGTTGTGGGAGTGTGGAAGAGGGACACTCTATACCTTCTAGGAAAGAGGAGGTGATATTTGAACTCTAGAGACTTGGCTAGGTAGCAGAGGGGAAGAGCGATGCTCTAGGAAGGGCAAATGCCTAGTAGTTTGAAGGAGTAAGTTCTACTACTGCTTTCTGACTTCCATTGTAGCTCCATTCAGTTCATCCTCCACACAGCATCCAGAGCCATCTTTTTAAAAGCTTAGTTTATAAATTAGATCATGTCATATTCCTGCTTACAGCTTGTCAGCAGCTTTGTCTACATCAAAATAAAATCAAACTCCTAATTATGGTGTCCTCACTCTGACTTCTAGCTGCGTCTCTGAACTTCTCTAGTTATCCGCCTTCCTTCCCTCCCCTCACCCACTAAATGCCCTCCTCTTTTCATGCGTTTGTATATGTGCACATACATGACCTATGTGTATACTCCCTCCACTAGTCCTATCCTTTTCTCTCTTGACACCTTGGCATATGCTGCTCTTCCCCCACCTAGCCATAGGTTTTTCAGAGTCAACTCTCATCTCCTCGGAGCCTTTCCTGACTGTCCCGTAGAGTTGTTCCTGCATCCTGGTGGTTGTACTCTTATTGCATCACCCTATTCATTTGCATTAGGGTACTTTCCACTATCAGAAATCATGCTGTGTATTTGCTTACTTGTTTTTGATCTTTTCCCATTCGAATGGAAATTCCACATGGCAGGAACCTTGTCTGTCTTACTGCTACATCCAAACTGGCCTAGCGCTTGATTCACAGTAGGCTCTCCTCCGACGTATGCTCAGTGGATAAATGAAGAGGCTCAGTGTGTCTGAAGCATAGATTGTATGAGAAGGAATGGTGGGGATATTCTTGGGAATTAGATCATGGATGGTTGTGACTCAGTTCTTAAGTATGGCAGGATTTTAAGCAGGGAGTTATATGGTCAATCCTGTGTTTTCAAAAGATCCTGTTGTAGGATGAACTGAAGAGTCAGGGAGACCAGCCGGGAGGTTTTCAAGTTCTAGCTGAGAAGTGATGGGGGTGAGCCAGGGCAGTGGCAGTAAGAGGGAAGTGGACAGTCTGGGCCATATTAAGGAGTTAGAATATGGAGGACTTTGGTTTAGTGGGAAGACAAGAAATCTAAGTGTTCCAGAATGGAAGAAGTAATTCATAGCAATTGATTGTAAGGTAAGGAGAGCAGGTTGGAAATGCCAGATTTTGAATGCCTCCTGGAATCAGCGTTTTTGTGCTACTTTGGATCCTTATGGCCCAGGACAATGCTCTAACCAACTGAGCCACACAGCCAGGGTATAATGAGCAGATTTTTAAAAAAGTTTCTTGAATAATGTACAGAGAGAAAAGTGCACATCATATAAGAAGTGTATAACTTGATGAGTTTTCATTACTGAACATAACCGTGAAATCAGTTTGAGATCTTGACACACCACCACCCTCTTCATAGGAGTCCTGCTTAGTCCTGCTCAGTCCTGCTCAGTAGGGTAACCTGAATTCTAACAGGGTAACCCTTGCCTGCTTAAGTATTTTATATATATATATATATGGAGTCAGACTTTTGCAATGAAAGAGGGGTGACTTTTTATTTTAATTTTATTTATTTTTAAAAGATATATTTTATTGATTTTTTTACAGAGAGGAAGAGAAAGGGATAGAGAGTTACTAGAAACATCTATGAGAGAGAATCATCGACCAGCTGCCTCTTGCACACCTCCTACTGGGGATGTGCCCACAACCAAGGCACATGCCCTTGACCAGAATCGAACCTGGGACTTTTCAGTCCGCAGACCGAAGCTCTATCCACTGAGCCAAACTGGTTTCGGCAACTTTTTATTTTTTTATTTTTTTAAAGAAAGGTCACTGTTGCCCTGGCGGGGTGGCTCAGTTGGTCAGAGCACTATCCCATACACTAAAAGGTTTTGGGTTTGATCCCGGATTGGGGCATACAGAAGGCAAATGATCAATGTTTCTCACTCTCTCTCCCCCTTCCTCTCTAAAATCAATAAAAACAGCGCAGATGGCATAGCTCAGTGGTTTGATTCCCAGTCAGGGCACATGCCCGGGTTGCAGGCATGGTTCCCGGTGAGGAGGCAGCCGATTCTCTCTCTCATTGATGTTTCCATCTCTCTACCTCTCCCTTCCTAAAAACATATCATCGGGTGAGGAGTGTAAACAAACGAACGAACGAAAGGTCACTGTTCAGGTACCTATTTTTGCTTGTCCAGATCACCCGTCAGAGGTGCCGGAGAAGCTCATCCAGGACCGTTTCCGGAAGCTGGGCCGCTTCCCTGAAGCCTTCAGCTCCATTCACTACAAGGGAACCAGGACTTACAACCCTCCCACGGACTTCTCCGGGCTCCGGAGAGCTCTGGAGCAGCAGCTGGAGAACAACACCACCCGTTCTCCCCGGCACCCAGGAGTCATCTTCAAAGCCCTGAAGGTCAGTTGGCTCCCGCCTCGCCTCGAGTGCTTCTCACTGGAGTGCCAGTGGGTGGTGAGAACACTCAGTTCTCCAGCTTTTGTTGGTACTGGTGATTGGAAACCTGGGCTGAGAGAGAGGTTATAGGAAAAGGAAGTGCATGAGTGGAGTTTACATCTCTCAAATGACCTCATCTTGCTAGGAGCTCGAGTGCAGAGGAATGTTAGGTGATAGTTAAAAAGTGATAGGCCCTGCCCTAGCTGGTTTGGCTCAGTGGATAGAGCGTTGGCCTGAGGACTGAAGGGTCCCAGGTTCGATTCTGGTCAAGGGCACATGCCCAAGTTGCGGGCTCAATTCCTCAGTGAGGGGCGCGCAGGAGGCAGCCAGTCAATGATTCTCTCTCATCATTGATGTTTCTAACTCTCTCTCTCCCTTCCTCTCTGAAATCCATAAAAGCATGTTTTTAAAGAATGATAGGCCCTTATATCAGTGAAAAACTGGGCTTTTAGGGAACAGGAAAAAGCGATAATTTATGGATGATGTGGCTCAGTTCTGGTGAGCCAACTCTGCCGAGGCTCAGCTATGTGGACGGCCCTTTTGTCTTTCTTTAGATAGACTCACCGGGTTTGTTTTTAACCTGAATTAATTCATGAAAGTAGGCAACATTTTGTAATCACCATAAATGGAAAACTAGTATTACAGGTAGAAATTTGACCAAGAAAAAAACCCAAAAATATATGTGGATAACAGTAATTGCTGTTTATGACGTACCAAAGTTCAGAGGATTTGTTCATTTAACCCAAGGGTGGGGAACATCTGGCCCGCATACTATATAAGTTTATTCTTGTATTATTATAATCATAACTTGCATGTTTTTCTATACCAACAACTGTAAACCTACTTTTTCCTACTCTGGTATATATAAACTGAACATCCATCATTTTTCTATCATCTCATATAGTTGCATGTAGAATTTTTTATAATTTTAAGTATTTTTGTTTATTTGGTGCCTTTTCTATTTTGCTTTTAGTATTTCAAGGATTTTATTTCAATACAGTATTTTATCTTTAGTATATGATTATTTATTTTACCACTAGATGCCTGGTGCACAAAATTCATGCATGTCCCTCAGCCCAGCCTGCACCCTCTCCAATCTGGGACCCATCGAGGGTCTGACATCCCTCTCATAATCCAGGACTGCTAGCTCCCAACTGCTCACCTGCCTGTCTTCCTGATTGCCCCTAACAGCTTCTGCCTGTCAGCCTGATCACCCCCTAACCACTTCACTGCCAGCCTGATTGATGCCTAATTGCTTCCCTGCCAATCTTCTTGCCCCTAACTGCCCTTCCTTGCAAGCCTGGTCACCCCTAACTGCCCTTCCCTACAGGCCTAGTCCCCCTCAACTGCTCTCCCTTGCAGTCCTGGGTCTCCCCCAAACTGCCCTTCCCTGCAGGCCCAGTCCCTCCCAACTGCCCTCCCCTGTTGGCCATCTTGTGGTGGCCATCTTGTGTTCACATGGGGTCAGGATCTTTGACCACATGGAGGTAGCCATATTGTGTGTTGGAGTGATGGTCAGTCTGCATATTACTCTTATTAGATAGGATAGAGGCCTGGTGCATGGGTGACGGCCAGCTGGTTTGCCCTGAAGTGTATTCCAGATCAGGGTGGGGGTTCCTTTGGGGTGTGGGGCGACCTGGGTGAGGGGCCTGTGGTGGTTTGCAGGCCAACCACGCCCCCCAGGAACCCAAGTAGAGGCCTTGGTATCTGGGATTTATTTATCTTCTATAATTGAAATTTTGTAGCCTTGAGTGGAGGCGTAGGCTGGCCAGGGTGTGATGAAAGTTTGGCTTCCTCCATGACTGGGGAAACCCAAGCCACTTGTTTGCTCCGTGGCCACAGCCATCTTGATTGGGTTAATTTGCATACTCGATCCTGATTGGCTTATGGACATAGTGGAGTGATAGTTAATTTGCATATTACTATTTTATTATATAGGTTTCGTTATAATGAATTCGTGAAGTCCATCTGGGTGAAAAACTGCTTGCTTTTTTTTTTTTTTTTAAAGAATTTTAGTGAGTTTATTTGAGCCAAACTGTCGACATATGCTGGGAAACAGAACCTCAACCAATTGAGATAATGCTCCTGAAAGGGCAGTCTGGGAACTCCTTGGAATGAGAGGGCAGGGTGGAACTCCTGATCCTCCATTTTATGTAACTGGACCCTAACCCTCACCCAACCAATCAGGGTCAGCCAAAGTAGTGACATCACCACCCCTATAAAACCCTTTGACCTGTTGAAGCTCACACTCTTCAGCCATGCTGCTGTTGGTGGAAGTGGGACAGAGCTAGTGCTAGCATGGAATACAGGCTTTCTGCTATTGCATTGGACTCGGCTTCCAGGTGGTCCTTAGGGATCACGAAATCTGGGGGTAACAAAACCTTTAATAGTCACCCTTATTTCAAAGTCCCTGATAAGAACTTAATGAATTATTGTTGAAAATATTACAAATATTACTCCATTGACACCCACCACCCCACACCTGCTCTCCCCAGGCCCACTGCACTATTTTATTTTTATTTATTTATTTTTCTATTTTTTTAAAATTTATTTTATTTTATTTATTTTTACATAGTTTATTGATTTTTTTTTTTGCCCCCCTCCTTCCCTCCCACATATCCCCTCCCTCCCCAGAGTTTTATGTTCATTGGTTGTACTTATATGCATGTATACAAGTCCTTGGGTTGATTTATTATCTCCCCCAGACCCTCCTCCCCTCCCCGCTGTAATTTGACAATCTGCTTGTTGCTTTACTGTCTCTATATCTATCTTTTGATTCATCAGTTTATAATGATCTTTATTATCCACAAATGAGTGGGGTCATGTGGTGTTTCTCTTTCATTGATTGGCTTATTTCACTCAGCATGATGTTCTCCAATTCCATCCAGGTTGCTGCAAACGATGAGAATTCCTTCTTTTTTACGGCTTGCTTTTTGAGGTTTGCTTTGTGCACAACTCTGTTACTATGGCTTCAGGCTTAGAACAGAAGTGCTGGGAAGGAGCAGGGCCTTTGGGGCAGTGCTGGGCTGCAGGGCCTGGAGAGAGAACAGGGAAATGTTAACAAGAAGATTGGAGTTGGGATATGAGGATGCCCTGAGGGTCAGGGGACAGAGACTGGGTCTGGGAGGGAAAGGAAGAAGCGGTAGAAGTGAGTTTGGCACAAAGCTAGGCAGTTCCTGGTTTATACAGGGAACAACTCTGGGCCTAGGCTGATTTGCTTAATCCATTCAGTTTAAAAGGTCTGCAGTGTAGGGCACAATGTTAACAATTAGTGAATCTGAGTAAACTGTGTATAGGAGTTTCTTGTATTATTCTTGCAACTTTTCTATAATCTTGAAATTATACGTCAAAATGAAAAGTTACCCTCCAAAAAAGGTTTGTGGTTTTAGCCGAGTTTTCTACAGGCTGGATGTTTGTGTCCTCCCAAAATTCCTATTGGAAATCCTTAATGCCCAGTGTGTTAGTGTTAGTGTTAGGGATCTTTGGGAGGTGATTGGGCCATGAGGATGGAGCCCTCATGAATGAGGGTAATAACTTTGATAAAAGAAGCGCCAGAGAGCTCTCCTTCTCCTCCCCCCAAGAGAGGACACTGAGCAGACACTTTTGATAAACCAGAAAGCAGGTTCTCAGCAGAACCTGACTATACTGGTGCCCAGACCTTGGACTTCCAGGTTCCAGACTGTTAGAAATAAATTTCTGTTAAGTCTGTGTATCTATAATAATAAAAGCATAATATGCTAAATAGATCGGACGTCCTTCTGGACAAAAGCCGAGGGTTCTGTGAGGGAAGCCCAGGTCCCGGTGCCAGAGGAAAAGCTGGTGCTGGCAGCGGGGGAAGGCAGGTCGACTCCTGCATGGATTTTGTGCATCAGGTCTCTATTCTGTATAGCAGCCCAAAAGGACTAACAGTGGTTAAAAGCTTGGGCTCTGGAGTCAGACCTGTGTCAGAATCCCAGTTCTGCTACTTACCAGCTGCTTAGTCTTGGGAAATGAATTAAGTTGCTTGATCATTAATTTATTGAACAAATAAATGAGTGCATTCTGTGCCAGGTAGAATCTGAGGTGCTGGGAATAGAGTGGACACCCAAGATAGACAACAGTCTTCGCCTTTGTAGCACTTCTTCAGACATTTTCCTCCTCAGAACAATTGGAGTAATAATAGAACGTTCCTAATTAAATTGAGGTGGGGATTAAATGAGAACAACATAATTGGCATATGGTAAATGTTCAATAAGAATTAACTGTTGTGAATAATATGAAGAAAGAAACTATGAAAAGTGATTATATTTGAATAATTCATGATATACATACTTCTAATTAGAATTTGAGATTAATATGTACTTAGATGTACAGGCTAGTGGCCATGTAAGGGCTAAAACCGGTTTGGCTCAGTGGTCTGCGGACTGAAAGGTCCCAGGTTCGATTCTGGTCAGGGGCATGTACGTTGGTTGCGGGCACATCCCCGGTAGGGGGTGTGCAAGAGGCAGCTGGTCGATTTTTCTCTCTCATTGACGTTTCTATCTCTCTATCTCTCTCCCTTCCTCTCTGTAAAATATCAATAAAATATAAAAAAAGAAGAAAAAAAAAGAATATGTTTTGGGCGCTCCCCAGGAAATTGTAGGATTCTTTAAACACTTATTTTAGAGAGGAAGAAAGAGAGAGAGAAAACAATCTATCATTCCACTTATTTATGTATTTATTGTTTGATTTCTGTATGTGTCCTGATTTTTGTATGTGATGGAACCTGAAAACGTGGTGTATCGGGATGGTGCTCCAACCTGCTGACCTGCCTGGCCAGGGCCAATTGTAGGGTTTCTTGCAGTTTACTCAGATCTTTGAAAAAAAATGTTTTTGTCTTTTTCTTTTTTTGTTGTTGTTGTTTTGTTTTAATCCACTTTATATTAGAAGTTGTCAGTTCTCTATCACTTTAATAGGAAGCTACCTGTGAGGACTATATTCGGCAA